ATGATTTTTTTTTATTAAATATATGTGATTTAAGAACTTGGGTTTAGTGCTATATGAAACTTAACTATTTTCGGATAAACGATTTTATGGCAAATGTAAACTAGTGAATGATATAAATCATTATCCCTCCAAAAATGATACACATTGCTGACAACTTATATGTACATTATTATTATTATTATTTAATCATCAATATTCAAAAAGTTATTAACATTATTCACTTTGTCCACCATCCGCTTTACCCTGATCTCCCTAATATAAAATAATTGTAATACATTTATTTATTTTTTTTATAATATTAAAATTTTTTATGTAATTTTTTATAGATGGAAAGAAGCTGAATGTAGTCTTAAAGTAACGATAACCGATGAAGAAAAAGATCAAGAGCTTAAGAATAATTTATCAGAGGTCGTACAAACAATATTTACACGCTTTATGTCTGATCCTAAGAGGAAGATAATAAGATCTAAATTATCAAAGAATTAATTAATATATTTATTAATGACTGTAGAAAAAATATGAATATATAATAGGTACTATGCAAAATAAAAAATGTTTAGTTTTAATATACTTGTGTTATGAAACATATGTATACATCACTCACATTATATATGAATTAATTATCTGTTATTATTATATTGTAAATCAATTATATACTTATACATGGCATTTTATTTATTTATGTGAAAAAAAAAATTAATCATACATTTATTTTAAAAAGTTGTGTACATGCATTATTTAGTATCATGAAACGTAAAAAATAATATAAATTATGGGTTAACAAATAATTAAAAAAAATTAGACTGCTAAGTCTTGTAATATCATGTCTGATAGTGAGTTATAATGAAACTGTAATAATTCATGCATAAAAGAAATATCGTTAGACTCCATATTACTATAACTTAAGTCATAATTCTGAATATATTGATTTGTAAATTCATTCCGTCGACAAGAAGAGGGTAACCCGTTAACATCTGCTGAAATTAATGAATATGCTGTGTCATAGGTCTTCTGATAAGATTGCAATTTTTTCTGTTTTTCAATAATATATAATTCAATATACTGTTGAATTTGTTTCAACCTTTGCAGGTCTACAAGAGCGAATGTTATATCATTTTGATTAGAATGCAATATAATTGAAGACTGTTTCACATTAACAGAATAACTTAAGTTATCAGTTATTCTTACTCGTTTACATCGTTTTTGTAGATTATTAATAATTGATGTATAATTATTTTCACACATTAATGAAAGCCATTGGTCTAGATCAAGGTTTAAACTCTTTTTAGTTATTTTACATTCTAGAATTATAATAATTGAAATCTGCTTATTAATTAATAATCCAACTGTAATACTTTTCTTGTTGTAAGCACGGATGTCAAAAGTAGACCTGCAGACAATTATCGGTGAACTCATAGTGGAATTACTTTGATAACTTTATTTTAATAGTTAAAATATTTATTTTGATTTTTTCACGTCTAACACAAATATAAAGTTAGATATAACTGATGGAGTCATACATTGAACTGAGAGTTTTTCCTTTGTAAACATATTATATACTACACTCTTAGATAAAAAAAAAATGCAAAAAAATGTGAACGTACAGCTTAGTGGATTAGTGCATACTAGGAGGGGAGAATTACACATTATACTTACTAACCTGAAAAACATTTAAATTATACGCACTAAACCACTAAACCATACGTCCACGAGATATTAAATTCAAAACTAGCATATATAAGTTGATTTTTTAAAATTCAATATTTATTATTATTTATTACATCATATATTATAAAACAGTACATAAAAACATGATTTAACAAATGGTATCGTATGAATCGGCTACACAATTACAAATAACTTCGATTTTACAATATTTACTTAACACTTTTTGCACATACTGATTTCCCTTCGTTAATAATACAAATATACATTTTGGTGAGAACCGTGTATGTTCAAGAAATATGTCGTCTCCGAATTCAAAGGCATGCAAAATTATTGAACACCAATGACATTCAACTGCGTCATCGACACTTATATACTTAAACCCAGACTCGGCCAATTTATATTTGTTCTGTGTACTATTTGATGGAAATGTTTTGAACGTTTTTAATCTCGAGGAAAACGTGGAGAATTCTGGGTATGCTGGTGTTGAATTGAATCGTATTTGGTTGACCAATGACTGGACATCGTTTGTACATTTTTGAAAATTCATTTTTGAAAAAATTTATAATAACTTGAAAACAATTTAATGAAATTATGAGAAAATTGAAGAGAATGAAATACAACTTCGTCAAACAGCTAATCACTAGTAACTGAACATAATAATAAAAAAAATAATCGACTATTAAAATGAAAACATTTTATAAAATATAGTGTAACCAACTTTGTGTTATTTTTTTTAAATAATTAATTTTAGTAGAACTGAATAAAAAAGTTCAGTGTAACCACTAGTATATTTTTTTTTTCCCCTGTAAAAATGGACGCAGAACATACATTAGGGTTTTTGAGATTTTGGCTACGCGGTGGTCAAAAGTACTGTAAGGGAGACTTTCCCCCTTGAACTTTTTTTTTTCCCCTGTAAAAATGGACGCAGAACATACAAATATATACTACTCTAATATTCAATATTCATACTTCACAAAATAATTGCATTACTCTTTTGGTATAATTATTCCTTAGATTATGTTAGTACATACACAATATAATATAATACATTTTTTTTTTTTTTTAACTAATAATTATAATATGACAAATTCACAATAATATATATACGAAAAATAGTTTTTAAACGTAACCTCTTACATCAACATAGTCAGTAGTTTTTTTATAATCATTTTCCTAAGGCCTAAATACCCATACAACACCATACATGGAGCTCTACCCGCCCTACTTCTCGGAGTTGAAAAGTGTATAAAGCTACATAAATGCGTGGTTATTAAATCTATTTGATCCTTTGTGAAAGGATATCCTAGCTCTGTGTTGGTGGTACTAATGTGAACACTTAAACAAGATGGATTGCTATACATATATGAACCCCTTGGATTCACATGGTATTGATGGTCTATTGTTATCCTTAGCTGATCTATGAAGTGCCCCAAAAATGCTTTGTCGATTCTTACAGCACTCATTTTCGGGTTTAAAGATTTTCTATAATAATATGTCATACGATACTGTTGTGTATATTTTTTTTTTTTATAATTGAAATTTTTTTTTTTTTATTGAGCATATTTATTTATTACAATGAGGTTTCTATTTTTTTTTTTTTTTTTAATTTAATTTATTATAACGTTAAATAGTATGGCAGTTAAAGTATCTATAATGACAGGGTCGGGTTGTATTGAGTGGAAAATCATATGGCATGGTGTTTCGTGCCCCCACAGAGCCCCTTCTTCATTTTGCCATTTGATAAAGGTGGTCACAACGTTTTGCATCGCCCGTATCTTTGTTCGGTTTAAAAGGAAACCGCTTCTCCGGTTGGCTCTCGCTAAATGCTTTAATAGACAGACCGAAGCCTGACTACCCTCACGTAATTGTACCGAATGCTCATCTTCGTACACCGTGTAACGGAAATGTTCCATTAACTTAAGTAAGTACTCATTTTTTTTTCCTATTAAATATTTTATAATGACGTAGTTACTTCTACTCTAGGAACTACTATTCTATGACTACGGTATTTTTGTTTATTTTTATAAGCACTATATAAACTATAAACTATCATTATTCCTAATATTATAATTATTTTTGTATTTATACCACTGGTTGATTTTAATATACTCTTATCTTTTTCCTCTTGGACGGCGCTTTCCAACTCCTCGATTTTTTGGAAAAGTCACTAATATCGTTCAGCTTGACTACTTGATTTTGGTGGATAAGTAAACTGTCAAGCTTAGCACTGGGTAATAACGGAATTTTTACACTGGTGGGTTTACTGGGGGAATGAAGTTGGTATACTGAGCGGACTTCAAGTGCCGGTTAGGTGTTAAGACTACTTGTGGTGTGTGTGCCCTGCATTGTTCACTTAAATTTATTATACCTACGCCCCTTAGTTGTATATTCTTAGCGTTATCCCATTGATCGCAAGTGACAGCTACATCGTCCAAAGTGTTTATTATATAAATCCTTTTATCCTAGAAACGATTTTATTTCTTTTACCGTTGTGGGTGTAGGGAATGTTATAACGCTCTTAATTTTTCGTTCGTCTGGTTGTACACCATTTTCTGTTAATTTATGTCCCAAATAGATTACTCCCTTTCTTAAAAATTCATATTTTATAGGTTGTAATTTTAAATTATGTGTACGTAATCGGGAAAACACCTCTCTAATTCGTTTGTCATGTTCACGTAAATCAGTGGAAAAAATTATAATGTCATCTAAATATACTAAACATTTTAAACCGATTAAATTACAAAGTACGTTATTCATTAATCGTTGAAATGTTGGAGGACTGTTTTTTAATCCCATGGGTAACTTGGTATATTGCCAATGCCCTATTTAGCTACTGAAGGCTGTTTTAACCCGTGACTCTTTATTTAATGCAATTTGATGAAAGCCTTGAGCAAGGTCGAGTATAGAAAAGTATTTAGACCTTCCTAGTCGATCTAATACGTCTTGTATTTGTGGTAATGGCATTTTGTCACCTATTGTTATATTATTTAATTTTCGAAAATCCACTACTAAACGAAATTTGGGTTTTCCTGATACGTCTATTTTTTTTCGGAACTAAAAGTATAGGACTAATCCATTGACTACTGCTCGGTTCTATTATACCGTCGCTTTCCATTTGTTTTATTTGTTTCGTTATTTCGTCCCTTTGACTATGTGGTAACCTACACTGTCTCTGATATATGGGAGGTTCTCCCCCTGGAGTTCTTATCTCATGCTCTATGGACGTTGTTTACGTTAACTTATCCCCTTCTAAATGAAATATGTCCATAAAGTCTATACACACTTGTTCAACACTGTGGGCCTCCTCCGAGTTTAAATGTTCGGTACGTAATTCATTCTTTAATTTTTGTATATACCCTTTCTGAATAGTTTGACAAGTTTTCGTTTTTATTAATGTTTATATGCATGACTGACTCCTCTCTATAAATTTCATATTTTATTTGACTTAGCGACACCGGTTGTATCATTTTTTCCTCATCAGATATGTTTATGACATTTACTAGCACGCGCCCGTCTTTCACTATATTTATTACTTTGCCCAAGAACACTTGCTCTTGCAGCTCCATCTGATGAATAGTTATTACTTCATTATCCTTAACCGTGCCGGCGTCGACACCTACCGCCATTATATATCAACCCATGGATGTATTCTTATGTGATTTCCTAATGTTAACGTGTGTGTACCACAGCCGTATGACAAATGTATTGTGGTATTTTGTAACTGAAAGAACGGTCTACCTAATATACCTGCTTTAATAAGTGGCATATCATTTTTTACTATATAAAATTGTACTTTCTTAAAAGTTTCTGTTCCTATATCAATCGGTATCTCTACTATACCTATGGTAGTTTTTAGCGTATTACTATACCTCTTAAAGAAATTGTTTCACCTGGTATTAATTTTGTATCCGACGTTAATTCAGATAATCGAATTATATTTACGCTACTACCTGTATCTACTAAAAATTCTATTGGATTATTTATAAAATGTTCGGACCTACTTTTAATATGTTGATTTTCCATTTCTACCGTTATTTGTTTTATATCATATATTTCCCTTAAATCCTTAACCACAGAGTGACTTCCTATTCCTGTGCCCGGGTTCCGTTTCCCGAATTAGAGCTTTATCCTTTATCACATTTGTCCTTATTTTTATAACATTTATCTATAGTGGGCCCCTTTTTCGACCAATACGTGCATATCAAATATGCGTTTGCTGTAGGTTTATTCGTACTAGGTTTACTACCCTCATTTCTAGGATTTCCCTTTTTAAACCTACAATCTCTAGCATAATGCCCGTATTTTCCGCATACATGACAATTACCTTTATTGTACTTTTGCGCTTCCCCTTTAGCCCTATTATTAAAATGATTATTGGACCTTACTTCGCTTGGGGTTATATTTTTATCTTCAATTATTGCAATCTGTATTGCTTGCTCTAATATGGAGGGATTTTTACTTTTTACCATTACTTTTATTCTGTCATTAATCCCTTCCAAAAATACTAACAATGCCTGTTCCCTTATATTGGTTTTAACGGCTAATGCGTTGCTTGCACTTTTACCTTGTGTGCTAATTTCTGATACGGCCTGCACCAAATTACGTATTCTATTAACGTATTCTATTAATGTTTCTTTATATCGCTGTTTCGCGCTAAACAATTCTATTTGCAGATACGCTGCATTTGTGGGTTTATCATATGTAGTTTTTAATAACGTTTTTAACATATCCCAACTTTTTACTAACCTTTCATCTGATGGAATATCTTGGATTGTATTCATTTTATAGTGCTGAATGACATAGTAGTCTTCCCAGTGAGGTACAACTGGACATTTAAATGTGTAAGAACTATTCCCTTCCTTCATTGTTAATGTATTTAATATATCATTTTCAATTTTTCCTTTCGATATCAAATCCATAAAAATATCCTTGTATGATTCCGATTGCTGATATATACAAATATATAAAATAAAGTAACATTTCAATTGGTATTAAAATGGCGTGTGTATGTGTGTGTGTGTGTGTGTGTGTATGTGTGTGTGTGTGTGTGTGTGTGTGTGTGTGTGTGTGTGTGTGTGTGTGTGTGTAATATTTTAGAAATAATATTAATTATTACCTTTCCGATCTTGGTCTATATGAATCTTGTATTCGAGTTTTATGATCTATCTCGATTGTTTTATTTACTACTTGATCCGATAAACTTCTTAAATCTGCAATAAAATCATTAATTTTATTCCGTAAAAATGTAGTGTCCCTATAACTTTGCTCTGATTGTTTCATTACTGCTTTAATGACTCTCGTCTGAGATTTTATAATATTTAATTCACTTTTTTCTGATTGTTGTAATATTGTACTACATTATTCGTTTTTATTTCTACGCATTTGTCATCACAAATTCCAAATAAAATATTTGCTAAATTATCTAAATTAATCCTCTCCTACCCCTTTTAGATGGATGTCCTAATGTTTTTAAAATGTTTAAAATGTTTTATTCAAAATTTCGTTGGTAAAGTCAGTAAATACAGTTCTAAAATTTTGACAAATCATATTAGCTTTTGATGGAATTAATTCGTTTTCAAGGCAATATTGTTTCGTAGTTTCTAAATATGTGTCAAAGATTTTCTCTCGTTCTTTATAAATTGTTAAATTAACATAAGTCAAAAGTGTCCATTGTGTGTTTATGATCCTGACGGATCCTTTATTTTCAAAATAAAGTCCCGAGTGGTTTCTCACGTGTGTAATATTGTATTGTGCATGTTGTGTTCCGTGTGTAAAATAGACAGACCTATGATAACCCTATAAAAAAAAAAATGTATAACTAGATTAATGCTTTGATTTCGACGTATATTATACTTATTCTAATTTCTAAATTGTTTGTATATTTATTTATCTATTTTATAATTTGTTTACTTATTTTTTTTTTTTTTTTTAATAACATTTAATCGTTTATTTCTTTAAATAATTGTAAGTGATTCATATGAACGCGTACAACTTTATTATTTTTCACGATTGATACATTTACTGGTTCATGTACCTCTACTATTTCATACGGACCTATCCAATTTGGTTCTAACTTATTTTTTTCTTCATATTTTTCATCAGAACTTTATCACCTATTTCTAATTCAATAGGATTGATATGTTTGTCATAATTAGTTTTTGATTTTACTTTCGCTTCAATTAAATGTTTCTTCGCCATCTGTCTTGCTTCTTGCATTCGTGTCCTTAAATCAGTTACGTAATCACAATAACTGTATCCGGTCGATGGTGATTTCAAAAAACTAGAAGGGACAACTGGCTGAATACCAAACACTAACTCATAAGGTGTAAATTTATGCGCTGTATATGGTGTTGTATTATACATGTACATTGCATAACTCAACATTTCGCACCAATTTTCCGTTTTTTCATCACTAAAGTTTCACAAATATTCTTTTAATGTCTTGTGACTACGTTCCAGTTCTCCATTTGTCATCGGTGAATACGCTGTTGTTTGCATCTTATTAATTTTCAATAGTTTACACATTTGTTTGAATAAAGCCGATAAAAAAATTGATCCTTGATCACTAAGAATATTTGTTGGAATTCCAAAATAACATACACATTTTTCCACGAACGTTTTAGCGATTGTCGCCGCGTCCGTATTTCTTAATAGATACGCTGCCGAAAATTTCGTTAAATCATCCTGGAGCGTTAATATATGTGTGTAGCCTTGTATAGATTTAGTTAACGGTCCTACTATATCTAAAGCTATTCTTTCGAACGCTTTCGACGAAGTAGTTGTTATTACTAAGGGTTGTTTGCTCTTCCGTTTTTCCTTATTTATCTGACATAATTTACAATTGTTAATACATTTTTAACTTCCTTTTCATACCTTTCCATTGTACCCACTGTCGTAATCGTTTTAGGGTTCTTGACACCCCCTGGTGTCCCCCTATACAAGTCATATGTTGTTCTGTAATTAGTGCTGTTTTTACTTCGTCCGATATCTTATAATCTGTATATATTTTAATTTTGATATTACTACCTTTAAAAATATAACTTAACATACTTCTAACTATATCACTATTTAAAGTATTCGTCATTTTCGGAATAGCTAGATTAGTAATATTTTCTTTAACGCACACATTTTTTACATTGATTAATGTTTCGTACATCGTTTTATACGTTGGACTCTGATTACAAGAATATTCTGTAAACGCGTATACATATTTTCTATTGTTATCACTTATTACAGCAACCTGTTTGACCTCTGTGCTTCCTGTACTTAATATTGAATTTTTCAAATGTCCTAATTGAATTATATATTCTCGAAATACATTGAATGATAAAAATAAATCCGCTGTTAATGTTAGTAGTATATAGTAATTGTCCGGTATGTCATTGATTTCTTGTATATTGTTGTTAATATATACATTATTGTTATTCATAAATTCTTCGAATGGTATTAAAGATTCACTTTTAATTACGCAGATCCGTGATAAGGCATCAGCGTTATTATGTTCTGAACCTGGTTATAAAACTATTTCATAGTCAAATTCTTGTAATAACATACGCCACCGCGCTAATCTAGAGTTCATATCAGAAACGTTGAATAACCATACTAATGGTCTATGATCCGTAATTATCTTGAATTGTTTTCCCCATAAATAAGGTCGAAAATGTTTTATTCCAAAAACAATGCCTTAACATTCTTTTTCAATCGTAGAATAGTTAATCTCACTTGAATTTAAAACTCTAGACGCGTACGCGATCGGTTTGTCATTGCCTTTTTCACCCTGCGAAAGTACACATCCTAACGCGTAATTCGAAGCATATATTGCTAACAAAAATTCTTTTTAGAAATCAGGATACTGTAAAATTGGTAATTCTGTTAAAATCTTTTTAAGTTTTTCAAATGCATATTGATGTGCGTCACCCCAAGAATGTTTTTCGTTTTTTTTGAATAAACATGTTAATGGTTTCGCGATTTTGGCGTATTCTGCAATAAAGCGCCTATAATAACCTGTCAGACCTAAAAATGCTTTTATATCTGTAGTATTCTTAGGTATAGGTAAATTTTTTACACATTCAATTTTGTCTTCATCAGGTTTTACCCCTTCTGCGGACAATCTGTGACCTAAATAGACTACTTATTTCCTTAAAAAGTGACATTTTTGAGGTTGTAAACGTAAATTGTTTTCTCTCAGTTTTTTGAAAATTATTTGTAATTTTTTAATCATTGAATTTAACGAATTTGCACTGACAACAATATCGTCCAAATATGCATACATATTAAGATCCTCACAACCTGACAATAATGCATACATCAGTTCTGAAAAAACTGCTAGTGCTGTTTTTAAACCGAAAGGCATTTTCAGCCATTCCCAATGACCTGTTGAGGTCGAGAATGCTGTCTTATGAGTGTCCCCTGGATGTATAGAAATTTGGTGATAGCCATTTGCAAAATCTAAAGTCGAAGAATATTTCGAATGTCCTAGTTTGTCTAAAATATCTGTTATTAAAGGAAGTGGCCAAGAGTTCAATTCCGTAATCGCATTCAATTTCCTAAAATCTACACATAGACAAAACTTTTTTTCACCGTCCTCGCCAATTTTTTTTGGTACCAAAATTAACGGATGGTTCCACGGCGTGTTACTTTTTTTAATTACTTCTTGTTTAACTAATTCCGCGACCTGTCTATTTATCTCTGTTTTTTGTTGTTCCGGTAATCTGTATTGTCGAGTATTAGGTGGTTGATTATCAGGTGTTATAATGCTATGTGTTACAAGATCAGTTGCTATAACCTTATCGCCCTCTACGAAAAATATGTCCGAATACTCGTAACATAAATCTGATAATGCTTTTAATTCTTCATCATTAAGTTGATCAGTTTTTAATTTTTCTGCTATTATTTTAATTCTATCAGTAAATTTCGACGGTTCCGATTTAATCATGTTATTCGATTCAAAGTACAATATAGAGTTATTTTTTTCTTCGAAATCTAATCCCGATTCTACCTCATTATTTTCTATAAAAAAACTAACAATTTATATCGTTTGTTTTAAACTGTGTTAATGTTACGTAATTTTCTGAAATATTCATTATATTTGCTTTAATTGTATTATTTTCGCATAAAGACACCGAATTTCCTAACCATACAGTATTATTTAGATTATTTTGTTTATTACTACGGAATCTCCGTTATTTATTTATTCGCTTGTGACCGTTATTGTTAGTATATTATTTGACCTAGGTGGTATGCTTATTAAATTTTATTTATTTTGTGTTCTATCGATTATCATTTCGCCGTTTTTTAGATTAAGAGTTACGTCGTTTTTACTAAAAAATGGTATACCGAGAATTCCTGACATTGAACCCGGAAACTTATCATGTACTACATGAAATACTGTATCATAATAATTATTACTATTAATCGTTAAATTAATCTTAATAATGCCCAAGGTTTTAATAGCATTCTCGTTAATACCTATTAACGCTGTTGTTTTTGTTTCTAAAGGTACGCTATTTTTTACTGCCAATAACTTAATTATATTTAAATCCGCGCCTGTGTCAATTAAAAACATATTTTCTTTTTCTGTTAATGCTTCCGAATCAATTTTAATTTGATTATTTTTTAACCCAATTATTTCTTTATTTATTTCGTTTTTAACCATCATAATGGTATTATTTTTTATATCACCTATCGTTTTTATTACCGCTGTTGTCGATGAGCCTACTCCATTTTT